CCGCCCTCCCCGCCTCACCTGATGTAGGGGACGAGGGGCTCGACGTGGCCCGCCAGCACGGCCATCACGTAGGAGATGATGAAGGAGGCCGAGGACCAGCTGACCAGCAAAGCGGGGACGAAAGCCACGCCGGGCATGCAGCACAGCATCGCCGGCGGCTGCCTCATCCCGGGCATCAGCGCCTGGGGCGGCCGCGCCCGCCCGGCCTCTGCGGCGGCGCCCGAAAGTCACGGAGCGTGACCCGAGGGCTTGCGGGACGCCCACCCACACCCCGGCCGGTTCCCGCCCGCCTTCCCCCGCCAGGTAGCGGCGCTGCCACCTCCAGCCCAGCAGCCCCGGGGACGCCCCGCCACCCGCAGCCGTCCCTTCGCTTTCGGTTCTCCTCAGCGCTCATCCCCCGGGAGGCAGCGCCCGGCGCCCGCCCCGCCCGCCGCCGTGTAACGGCCTCCAGCGGCCAGGGTTGGGAGCGAGGGGGCCGGCCGGGAGGTGGAGATGAGGGGGGGAGCCTCCCGTTCGCCTTTCACCGGCGGCGGCACCTCGAAAGGGCTTTGGAGAGTTTCTTATCGGTGCCGAAAACCCTCCCCGCGGGCCCGGCCCGGCTCGGTGGCTGCCTCACAGGCCACGGTCGGGGGCGCGTAGGTGCCGGTGGCGGGGTCGGGGGGTTGTCCCGGCGGTTTGTGCGTTCAGAGTTATCTTTGAAAGGGAAAGGGCTAAAAAATGCGGTGTTTGGATTTATGGCTGTGGACTCCACTGCTTGCCATCCCTGCCAGGCCGGCTGAGCTGGCAGGGGGGCGGCGGGGGGCACGGCCGGGCGGCGAGGCCGGTGAACCGGGGCAGGGATCCCCTGAGGGGATTCGCTTTTCCACGTGCTGTGAGGGAAACCGTAGCTCTGGTTAAAGTCACACCGTGATCCACGCTTTCGCTTTGCTTTAACCTGAAGCCGTGGGCAATCTGTCAAGGTTGTTTCTATTTCCTTCAGCTGTTTGTATTTATCTGCCTTCTAAATTGACATCCGAATGCAGGGTCACCGTTCTGAAACACAAATACCCGTGTAATCCACCTCGTCTCCCTGAAAATTTATTGCGAGTCGTCTTGTGATACCTTCGTTACACATTCCCTGTGGTGGAAGCATAGTAGGTTAGAAGGTGAGTACTTTCCACGCCTTTAAAAATATTAGGAAGGAAGTTTGAAATTTAATAAAAGGACTTAGGACAGTGTACATTGGTATAAGTACAGAATAGTAATCACGGAATTGTCAGAGTTGGAAGGGACCTCTAGAGATCATCTAGTCCAACTCCCCTGCTAAAGCAGGGTTGCCCAGAGCACATTACTCAGAACAGCATCCAGGCAGGTCTTGAAGATCTCCAGAGAAGGGGACTCCACAACCTCCCTGGGCAGCCTGTTCTACCACTAAGACTGGAGGTACTCTACACCCTATGCCTTTTGGCAGTAGCATATTGCTCACATTCTTAATGTGTAACTTGAGCCTAATAAGTCACTGATACTTCATGATTACACTTGAGCACTTATACCAAAAAAAAAAGCCCGTCCTTTTTTGTATTGGCTAATACTTTTGTACTACTCTGAAAGAGAGCTATTAGGTAATCTATCTTTAGTAATTTTGAGTGGCAGAAATTTCTGCTTGAAAGAACGGGCTTATTTCTTTTTAGGTTAATAATAAGCAAAAAATAATGGAATTAAATTAATACTTGAGCTGTCTTAATATATGCTTAATATATGTACCATTCCATTTTTGTTCCCTCTGGAAAGAGGATAGGATTAGGTTTATTTTACTGCATCCACGTTTAAGTCACACTGTTGGAAAAATGTTTCATCCACTGTTCTGCAAAATCTCATTATGCTAACTATAGATTTTTAAGTAGTAAATAACTCACTCTTAAGTGAGAGTTGAGTACTTTTCACATGACTTCGCAGTGCCTGGGCATTATTTGGAGGGAAAGAAAAAGGCACGTCTTTGGCTCAAGCAGGTGGTAACTTACTGTTTGGCGATCACTAGCAAAGGCTCTTTGTTGCTATGTAAACATTGCTTGCAGCTCATGTGATGTTTCTTTACACTTTTATTGTAGGAGGTAATCAGTAACAACATATAATTTGAGCAGCAATCTTTGATTTGTTTTTGTCAGCAGCGTTAGCACGTTTTTCTTCAAAAGATTGTTAAGAGCTGCAAGGAGTAACAAATACAGGTTACTGACCAACTTGGGGGGAGTAATTTTATTTATTGGACTTGTGGACATTAGTGTGATATTTCAAAGAAGGTCTATGTGTTTTGATTTATTGTGCTTTGGATACATTCTATTAAAACATTGGCAGTATAAAAATATAAAATAACTATGGACTTTAATGTAGCTTCACTGGATTTCCATAGGTGAAAAATTAGATATGAGCTAGCAATGTGCACTTGCAGCCCAGAAAGCCAACTGCATCCTGGGCTGCATCAAAAGAAGTGTGCCCAGCAGATGGAGGGAGGTGGTTCTCCCCCTCTACTCCACGCTGGTGAGACCCCACCTGGAGTACTACATCCAGCTTTGGAGCCCTCAGCACAAGAAGGATATGGGCCTGTTGGAGCGGGTCCAGAGGAGGGCCATGAAGGTGATCAGAGGGCTGGAGCTTCTCTCCTATGAAGACAGGCTGAGAGAGTTGGGCTTGTTCAGACTGGAGAAGAGAAGGCTCTGGGGACACCTTGTAGTGACCTTCCAGTCCTTAAAGGGGCCCTATGGGGAGAGGGACTTTTTACAAGGGCATGTAGTGATAGGATGAGGGGTAACGGCTTCTAACTGGGAGAGAGTAGATTTAGATTAGATATCAGGAAGAAATTCTTTACTGTGAGGATGGTGAGGCACGGGAACAAGTTGCTCAGAGAAGTTATAGATGCCTTATCCTTGGAAGTGTTCCCAGCTCAGGTTGGATGGGGCTTTGAACAACCTGATCTAGTGAAAGATGTCCCTATCCCTGGCAGGGGGGTCCATTCCAACCCAAACCATTCTATGATTCTGTGATTTAACAAAGTGATTGGACTACATCCTGTACGTTTAAAACATTGATACAAATTTATGCTTGTCAGTGAATATTATATTAGAATTATTAGAAAAATAGATATGTGAAGATGTGCAAATAATAACATCTATGTCAGTGATTTGAAAACATATGAAGGTAATGGAAATAGTAATGGAAGAGACCTAAAATAGACTATGCTGGTATTACTTGTATCCCCACTTTTTTCCTATTTTTTTCACAATCTGTTTACCATGGATTTTCTATTTGTTATATTTGACTATTTTCTTTATCACATTACATTCTGAGGAAAGTCAGGTCATTTCATTTAACAAAGATGAATAAAGAGATCTGTGCAAAGTGTCCTGTAGGAAGCTTGTTGGTTTGTTAATGTCACCTACGTGGCACTCTTCAGTTTTTAAAATGCTGTGTCCTAGAATAAATTTTACCTTGACACCTCCAATTTCAGAATGTTTATATACTGATTTTTAAAACCACCTCTTTCCCATCCTGCTCCTCTTACTGCCAACTACTGTATTTTGGCCCCCCTGAAATGTAATCATTACTCAAATGAGCTCCTGCTACCTTGTGGGTGCCTATTCCATGGGCTTTTTCAACTGCTGGTGAAAAGTTAATTTATTTGTCGTTGACAGGCATTCTCTTTCTAATAGAAAACACAGGTAGCTAAAACCAATTCTGGGGCAAGGGCTGTTTTGAAGGCTCAGGCATTGAAACAATATTGGAGCAATCACATTTTCTAGACACATAAGCATCTTACTTTGAGCATTGATAGAAAATTGAATCTAGACAGATTCTAAATCTAGACAGATTACTTGCACACTTCTCTGGTATTTGTATCTGTCACATCTAGACCATTCTCGTATTTAACCAGTGGACGCTGGGGAGTTCTGGACTGGCTTGTAAATAGTCCTGGGTTCCTATGAGAGAAGCTGACAGGTACCACAATGGTTTATCTTGTAACAGCATGGTGCTAATGCTGGTTTGCTTCAGTCCTTCCCATTATACTTCATCTACTTAAACTGCCTGAGAAGTCCATAAGCACAGCTTTGCTGTGCTCTTGCAGACAATTGTTGAGTAAGCAGAGTGGTTTGGCAAGAAGTGGACATCAGAGTGATCCGTAGCTGGAAAGATTTAGATTGTAGTTGGCAGGTAGGTCAAAGAAGGTAGATGGAAGTTCTGAATATGTTCTATCCATGTATTTTTATATTGCCTATAGACAGCAACATAAATAAAATGTAAAAAATTGTGTTTACAAGAAAACTGTTCAGAAAATAAGGGTATGGAGAAGCAGTGTAGCTTAAGTTAGGCAGATTTTGAAAGAGATGTACATAAAATAAGAAAGTGCTGGCTGTAGTGTGTAATTCCAAACTGATTTGTTGTGATCTGGAACATGAAAGACCTACTTAGAAGACTCCCCCTCCCCAAATATGTTGGTCTTTAATATCTCTGTATGGTGTTCAGACACATCCTGTGCAGAATAGTTAGGGCAGCTCTTACACCCGTGATTTGGTAAAGAACTTGCTGGAAGATGGAAGAACAAGTGAGATAGGGACATGACAATAATGAAAGTCTAGAACATGAGGCTAAGTTACTTCTTGAAATCTTGTATTTTGCTACACACAAGCACTAGGGAAAAAATGCAGCCTTAATCCATGAATGGAACACTTAAATTTTTTTTTATTAGTATCTGCCAGTCCTCTAGCAAACTCCACTGCAAAGCCAAGTGATTTTTGTCTTACATCATATGTATTTTTTAAAGATGAGTAAAGGGTACCTCCCAAGCCTGCTTTGGCTGTCATACACAGGCATTCAAAACCCTAAATAAAACTAAAAATACAATTTTATTCTAGCCTGTTACTTCACTGTTCTCCTAGCACTTTTACTCTTTCTTTAAACATAGAAGCGTTTCCAGTGTAGAACAAAACACCTAAAAATCTGCGAGAAGATTACATTTAGAATATAAAAACATAAGGTTGCAGATTTTGCTCCCAGAGATTACTTGTTGGATTTACTGATATGTAACCAGACCTGGATAGCCAGGGAGCTCTGCTATAACGACATACCCTTTGGAATTCATGGACTTAGGACTGCTCATAAGCAGAACTAGATCTTCCCACAGAATGAAGTGAGAAGAGGAAGAATTTGCTGCTTGTAAAGAGAAAAGCAGTGTATGGTGAAATAAATAAGGAAAGGAGGGTGTGACAGCTGCGCAGCAGCTGGAAACCGCTGTGATAAAGGTGGTATTGGCTGGAAAGAAGGAAACAGTTGCCAGCCACAGGTTGTGCCAGAAGAACATTTGCAGGAGAAATCAATACAACCT